TTTCATGTGGAGTTTGAATAGACGTTCATCCCTGGCTTGCTCCCCATCAAGTGCCTCAGGAGTGTGGAAATTACCTGCACATTAGCCCAGCGTGACGAAGCATCTTCTGACCGTATTCGGTAATGGACAAAATAATTGCTGCTGTGTTAGAACCGGAGGAAAGAGGTTCCAGTTAAGAAACTAAGGCTGAAGATGAAAGTGAATGCCTTTAGGACGTTTTCAGTTTAATCTAGATAAAATTAATTTAAGCACAAATGGAGTCAGAAAGGCAAAAATGCAGCTTACTGTAACTCCTTCAAATAAAATTTGGTTTTGGCATTGGAACAAAGTTCAGGGGAAATTCAAAGGCAAGTAAACAGTAAAAATTAAGGGTGCCTATTGTAATTCATAGAGCAGACACCAAGAATCCTGCAAAGAGGAGTAACAAAAAAGGCTAATTGAAATTGAATTCTAAAGTGTGTGTGTATATATATATGTGTGTGTGTGTAAAAGAAGGCAGAAAAGGAGAAATAGAAGAACAAAACAAGAAGACACAAAACAGAAAACAAAGAGTAAAATGGGAGGCTAAACGCAACCATATCAACAGTGGCCTTGAACGCAACTGTGCCAGACACTTCCTATCACACTAAGATGCAGAGATTTGCAGAGTAAACTTTTTAGGGTCCCAACTGCATGCTGTCTGTGAGTGATGCTGTTTAAATATAAATGCAAGAGGGACTGAGGGAAAAGGAAAAAGGACTCGTGGGCATGGACAGCGGTGTGGTGATTGCGGGTGGAGGGGAGTGTAAGGGGGATGAGTGGTAATGGAAAAAATACAATAAAAAATAAAAAATAAACCAGTGAAAATACAACTATGCATATTTTAGATCAAACTTAGCAAATGGTTTTCAGAAGTCCTCAAAGTTCCCATCTAATTCCTCCCCAACGTGCTTCCCCCCTCACTGTATTAATGTTCTGTTTTTTAGCATTAACTGCTGCATTCATATTTGTTCACTCCCATAACCATCGGCCAAGAGAATCGAAGCAACTATCTAAACAAACACATATTCAACATTCTCCCTAAAGCCCAGGGGAGAAAAAAAATCCAAAAATGTTCTCCTCATTGTCTGGTTTCTGATCATTTCTGGAACCAGGTGTGAACACAATTATATCTAGGAGAGGAAGAAATGCATAAAATCAATCCATCAGTTAGTCTTCAAGCAATATGTACTTCAAGCAAGAAAGTCCTTTAGAACTCTTAACAATAATGCCATGCCTAATCTAGATTTACTTTACAGATACTGGAAGGGGAGCAGTTCATAATGAAGTAATAACAGGAAATTCCTGATATCATTAAATGTGAAAGTTCCATGCAACTGCTGGCTCCCTCCACCCTTTTGGGGGAGAGGGGATATTTGGAAGTGATAGATGTCTCTTAACCAATCAAGCTTTATGATACATTTTAGACTCAAAAGTTTTCAGAAGGCCTGTTTAGTTTTTCACCATGCAAAACAATATGTTAGTTTCATTAGGTTTTCTCAGAAATAATGCCAGTCTCACCAACAGTTAGAACCACAGCAGCATGCTTTAAGGCCTAAAAGGGAATCTGTAAAATATCAATGTGATACTGTGCGCCCCCTCAGATTCTTATCCCTGAGGGTGATTGTAAATCCTCATTCACTACTTCCTTAATGAAGCCACATTCTTCAGAAAACTCCCAGTTTCTTCATACTCTGTCAGTTTGGTTACCAAATACTGCCAAACATGTGATTATAGATATTTGTAGTAGATGAACAAATAGGATCATAATTAATAGCTGATTTCATATGTCTATATCTGTACTTATACCTACACCCATATCTATATCAATATAATGTTATATCCACCATTACCGTTACAGTTTGAGAACCATTTTTCCCTGAGAAGTCGGACAGGGTTAGGGGTGTATTCCACTGCAGCCTCCCCTGTAAATTACGGTTGTGCACTTGAGACTTTCCCGTGGCAGATGCAGGGTGATGGAGGATGGATCAGGGATCATTCCCAGGTTTTTTGATTAGGTGTCTAAATTAAAGATTGGGCCATTCATATAATGTAGGAGAATCAGAGGGGGGAAATGATGAGTTTGCACTTGGCCCTACTGACTCTGATATACAAAGTGGGTCTGGGGTTCAAATGAAATAATTGCAATGGAAAGGAAGATTCCAGGGTCGTCAGTGCACAAGTGATCATGAAATCAGGACCAGGCACGTGGTCATTCGGAGACAGTACTCAGAGAAGAACATCAAGGATGGAGCCCTGGGACACACCAGCACCCAAGGGACCCGTAGAGAACAAGAAACCCAAGAAGGTGACAGAGAAGAGAGTCAGGGAAACGGGGGAACACGGGGAGAGCTGTGCCACTGAAATCAAAACCAAGAGGGAACATTGGGGTACTTCAGTCCTTAGCTTAATAAGAGATTAGCATTTTTTTTCAACTTTTTCTTTTTTTAAAAGAGGGAGAGAAACACACATCAATGTGTGTTTACCTCTTGAGCATCCCCTACCGGGGACCTGGTCCCCAACCCAGGCATGTGCCCTGACTGGGAATCGAACCAGTGACCCCTTTGGTTCGCAGGCCAGCACTCAATCCACTGAGCTATACCAGCCAGGGCTCATCTTTTTCATTTCAGCTGTTTTCAGGCTAACTGTTCAAAGTGACCTTTAGAATATGTATGAATGCACACCTTGCTAGAGAGGCTGTTACAAATTACCACAAACGGAGTGGCTTAAAAATGACAGGAATTGGATTTCTCACAGTTCTCGAGTCCTACCGCCTGACATCAAGCTGAAGCAGGCAGGTGAGATCCTTCCTAAGGGCTGGGGGCGGGGGTGCTGCGTACCTTTCCCCTAACCCCTGCAGATGGCCAGCCGTCCTGGGCGTTCCTGGCGTGAGGCAGAGCGATGCCAGTCTCTGCCGCGGTGGTCGCATGAGCGTCTTGCCGGCATTCTTCCCTGGCGTCTGTGTCCACACCGCCCTTCTCCTAGGAGGACAGCAGTCCTCGGACTCATCCAGTGCGACCTCTCTTGACTTGATTAAATCTGCAGAACCGATCTCCTCACGTAGGCTCGCAGGCTGAGGTCCCGGGTGGACATGAATTTTTGGAGGGCACTCTTCAATCCTAAGGGTCTGATCACAGATTTACAAGTACGACAGCAACTAGACTCTGCGAAAAGGGGTAAACGGCGATGAGAATGGTGCATACGGCCATTGAATTTGATGTGGGCACCTGCTGCAAGAGGTCGGTGAGAGGACAGGACTCCCCCTTGACCCCAGGCCCGGACCTAGGCAATCAGAGGCCCCTCACCCCTTCCCCTTTCCTTAGGAGACGCCCACCAAGGACACTGTCTGGAGAGGGACTGTGTTCCTGAGACCGACAGGATGAGGTACTTCCCTGAGCCCAGTGGGCTCCATATAAACTCTCTAGCTTCTGGCGGGAGGGTGCGGAAATGCACCCACCCCTGGCCGCCAGACAGCTCTCACCTGTGAGTTCCCCCGCTTACTAAAGCTGCACTTACCTGTCTGCAGTGGCCTGCCCCAGGGGCCGGAGGCCAGTTCTCCTTTCCCTGGGGGAACTCCTGAGGCTTCCCACCACGGGCACTGCATTTATTTATTTTGCACCTTAGTTTCCTTCAGTGGTAACAGGAGACCAAAGTAAGTTAAGATTCACTTTGTAGAAACTGTTCACACAGTGTTTTTCTTTGGCATCTCACCTGCTCTCGGAGACACCCCTCTGAGCTCCATCAAGAAGAAAGCCACTTTTTTTTTTTCCCTCAGTGAAAGACAGAGTCAGAAAGCCTTTCTGGCCGTGGGGACCGGGCGTGCCAGTGTCCACAGCCATGCAGCTGGCGAAACTAATGGACCCTTTCAGACTCTTGAAGTAATGGGAGGTGTGGCCAAGGAGCACCCATTTATTTAGACAAAGGTACTTTTTCTTCATTATCATCAAATATTTACCACGCACGATAGTCTTCGTGGCACCACCAGGTATTACTAAGTGTGTGTTCAGGCATCAAAACAAGTCTTGGCCTGCGATGACCTTAGGGAGGAACGGAACGTCTCGTCAAACATAAAAGTAACATTCGGAGTAGTTCTGACATTCATTGGAGCCAGCCACTCAATCCGAGACGCCTTCCCGATGCAAGACTGATTCGCAGGCCGTCCTGCTCCATCACTCTTGCAGACCCCCGGCCTGCCCACCACTGTCCCTGCCATTGTGATACTTTCCAGGGTCCCCGAGCCCCACGCAGAACAGGCTCAGCCAAACAGGAGCAGGGCCACGACCCCGGAGACCCCCCGCGCCCACGCTGCCCAACGCTGCTGAGGACGCGTTGGTGTTCAGAGGTCCACACCGGCTGCACAGCCGACGTGGCTCTCGACAGTCCGTCATACGACCATAAAGAGAGGGCAGATCTGTGTCCGAAAGGTGCTGGATTTGAAACGTGTATCTCAGAGGTCGCTGGCACTCGTTGGAGGAAAAGCGGGCCACGAAGCGGCACCCACAACTCCGTGAAACGCAGGCTGGCAGGGAGTTTCTGGATGCGACCCGGACCGGGAGCCTAGAAGTCCGTCCCCACACTGTCGCTTCTCTGAACACCACTCGAAGCCCACGGGGCCTGCCCAGGTGGGGATAGCAGGTGGCCCCGCGGTCTCCCCCGACCCTCGCAGGCCTGTCGCCGCCCCCTGCGCCCCGCGCCCCGCGCGGGCTCAAGGGTTGCAGTCCCCCCCTTTCCTCTCCTGGCCTCTCCCGCTTCCTTCTCCACCGGCCCCCGCCCGGCCCACCAGTGCGAGGCCCCACCTCGTCCTCCCGCGGGGACCCGACCCCTTCCCCCGGGAATCAGGAGGCCAATTCCTGCGGGTCCCAGAGGTGCCAAGAGTGCGCGGCTAGACGGGAAATTGCAAAAGTCTTCGGCCCTCCGCCCTCCCCCGCGGCTTTCCCGTAACTCCCGCCCCTCGGCCCCCGTCCCGCGGCTGATTCATAGCCCGGGCGCCCGGCAGCCTCCCGGGTGTCCGCACCCGCCGCCCGAAACCCGCCCAGCGGAGGACGCGTCCGGCTCCCGGAGCCCCGGCCCGCGGGGTGAGTACCGGCCCCGCCGCCCTCGGTGGCTCTCCCGACCGCGGACCGGACGCGGCCAGGGGGCGACCCGCACAGCCTCGCCGCACCTGCCCCGCGTTCGCTTTGATCTGCGGGGAGGCGGGGATCGGAGGGTCCGCGCCGCTGGCTTGCCCACGGGGCGCGTGGCACAGAAGGACTGACTTTTTCCAGAGCGCACGCCACCCGGCCTCCAGGCGTCCTGCCCTGCGTTTCCGTTCCCCGTCCCACTCCCGCTCCCTCCAGCGGTCGGAACGTTTCCAAACTTCCCTTGATCCACTTACGCCTCCCACCCGACCCACCGCCGGGCTCGTCGCCGTCCCCAGACGTCCCCCCACCCACCAGCGACTCCCGGGGACAGCCGCTCTGCTCCGAGTCCCGATGCCGCCGCCCTGGGTCTCCGTGTGCACCTGGCGGTGGGAGGCGCTCGGCGCAGGTGGAGCGCGCGCTTCCCGGGGAAGTTGGCGTCTGGGACGCGCGCCGCCTCGTCCCCTTTTCAGCCGCGAGCGAGGGGGCAGCACCGAGTCGGCGGGTTGGGCGGCAGGAGCCTCGCGTTTGTAAGCGCCCTTTCCCCCGTTTTCTAGGCCATCCTGCGGCGGAGGGGTTCAGTGACTCGTCCAGGGCCGCACAGCTGGCTGCGGCGGCCCTGGAATCAATGAGTCCAGGGTTTTTCTTTTGCTCCTGACTCAGAGATTCACTTCCTGAGAGTCCTTCATGCACCCGCCCCTCCGCCCGTCCTGCCTGCAGGGAGAAAGGCACGGGGCCACGGAGAAAGGCTGGTGGACAAGCGACAGGCTTGAAGACCCTCTGTGGGCAGGCTTAGTCTCCAGCTCAAGCAGGGGTAAAGGTAGGGGGCGACATAAGCACAGGACAGGAAGGAACTGAATGCGCTGTCCTTAAGGCGCCACAGGGAAAGAAGCTTTGGGTCTTGCTCCCAAGCCTAAAACTGACTTTGGGACTTGGGTCAAGTTATGCATCGCCTTAGCCCCAGTTTCCTCGTCTGCAAAATGGTAGTGGTTCATACTTACTGCAGGCCGGCGACGATGGGAAGTGTTTTGCATATGCTTACTCACCCAGTCTTCACCTGCGAGGTAGGTGCTAGTTTTGTCGCGCTCACTGTGTCCACGAGGAAGTGGACAGAGCTGAAGTCACTTGTGTGGGCTCGCGCAGCCAGCAGGTGGCGGGTCCAGGTCTGACTCTGGAGCTTGCCTGTCACCACTGTGCTGTGCCTCGGACTGAGGACCGTTTGGAACGGCCCTGGGGTTGGTGTCTCATTGCCCTTCCGCTTTGTCTCTCTCCTGGATTGCGTTTCAATGGGCCGAGACACCCTTGAGCCTGAAGGGTTTCAAATGGTCCTCATAGCCAGGGGCTCACAAATGTAGCAGTGCCTCCGAATCATTTCTGGAACTTTCAGCGCACTGGACTCCAACCTCGGCTGCCCATTCAGAACCCCCAGGGCGCGCTCCGTTGGTGTCTCCCCTGGCAGCTAGCCAGCATCCGGCGCTGTCAGAAGGCAACCGCAGGGAGCCCAGTTGCGTCATTGCTGCACAGAGCTGTGCTCGCCTTCCTGTGACTTTCGTCTGGGTCCCAGTCCTGCCTCCCGTGGTCCCAGCAAAGGGGTCTCAGAACACTTTTACACGCCAGGTCTCCTCTCTTTAATCCAAAAGAGCAGGATCACCTACCGGGATGCACGGAGGTGTTCCAGAGTCTGTGATGCTCTTAGGACCCTCCTGTCTTGAAAAGGAACCAAAGCAGGAAAACGATGCATTATGGTTTTGAAAAGGGGCTGAGCAGCCGTGGGACCTGACTAGAAGGAGTGAGCTTTCCTTGCAGGAACCGGGCTGGGGCATAGCCGGGGCGGAGGGAAGGAAATCTCCTTGAGTGTATGTAGTCTGGCTCCTTTAGCAGACCGGGGGCCCTGACCCTCCTTCCTGGTGGGAAACGGTGGGGGGGGGGAGGTCCTCCCTGACTGCAAAAAGAAATAGGTGAAATGGGAAACATAAACAAATAGAACCTTGCGAGAAACACCATGCCCTTAAGCAGTGGCTTAAGCTGGAGTTCCTTTCCCGCGGCGGTGTCCTCGGCCTCACAGCTTCCTTCCTCACAGCTCTCACTTGAGTTCTGCCTGTGGTCAGCATTTGCTCACTCCCAGGCCTCTGTTTTATTTTCATATTTTTAAAATTGTACAAGTCATAACTGCCCACACTCTCAAGCAAAGAAAAGCACGTGGGATGAGTTGAGTGAGGGCCATCGCCTTTCCTAGCAAGCAGGAGAGGGACGGCTAAGTTCAGTGAAACCATTCCGAGACTTTTTTCTTTTCCACGCATTTGCATAATAGGTATAGATGCATGCATTTAAATATATGTAAATGCGATCCTGCTATACAGTGTGCAGCTTACGTTGTCATTTTTCCCAAGCCTTAGAGATTTTCCTCGTCTGTAAGGACCTCTTTGTGGTGCTGGCTACATTTCATTCTAAAACAGAAATGCACTGGACCCATCCTTTCCCTTATTCATGGACACGTGGGTCATTTACAGTTATCCTGCATCAGCGACAGTACCTCAGGGAAGACTGTGCATTCACCTTCCAGCCTGAGTATTTCTGAAGACGAGACTCCTGAGATATTCTTGCATCAAAGGGTCTTTTTGCTTTTCAACTTAATAGATACAACCCTTCCACCTGCACCACTGCCCCCAGAGCAGGTCCTAATTCACACTTGGTGCACAAGAATCTGTCTTCCTGGTCCTTCCTGATATCAGCTGTTATTTTTTTTCAATGTAGCATTTCAAAAATGGTTCATTAGTGAAACCCAAGGAGGCATTCCTATTGCTGTGCAGCCATCACCACCATCCTTTCCCAGAATTCTTTTCACCTTGCAAAACTGAGTCTCTGTGCCCATCAAACAGTGACTCCCCATCCCCTCCCTCTGGCGTCCCCCCCCCACCCTCACACAGTCACCATTCTATTTCCTGCCTCTGTGAACCTGGCTACTCCTAGGTACCTCATGTACGTATCAGTCTTCTCTGCGACTGGTTTGTTTCACTTAGCAAAATGTCCTGAAGGCTCATCCACGTATCAGAATTTTCCTCTTTGTGTGTAGTATGCTACATTTTGCTCACCTATTCATAATACGTTTATGTTCAACTATCTTTTGCTGCACAGAAATTTTAAATGTGTGTGTTGTCCACTCTGCAATCTCATGATTTCTGTGCTTTCTTTGTTTAGTTTAGAAAGGTCTTTTTTTTTTTTACTTGAATATCATTTAAAAATTACCTTGTCTCCTAATACAGAATTTTGTTTTTTACATTTGGTTCATTAAAATATCATACTTTTGTCTAAGGTGAAAAACAAGGATTAACATTTTTTCTAGAGTTAACCTGAGAGCGATTTATTTAATCATCCACCTTTTTTCCCACTCACTTGAAATCCTGTTTTTATAGTAAAATAAATTTCTACTTATACAAGGGCCTGTTTTAGAACTTTATTCTGTTTCACTGAGCTTTTTTGTCTCTTTTTATGCCAGTACCTCCCTATGTTAAATGCTATAGCTTTATAGTATTTTTGTATCTATTAGCATGTATTTGTACTTTCACAAAATTCTAGGAATGATCCTTGTACTATTTCCCTTTTGTGCCAATTTTATAAATAGCTTGCCAAGTCTAATAAAATCCTGTTGAAACTTTTCCGAAGATTTCCTTGAGTGTATGATTGTAAATAATCTTTTTATCCCCAGCGCACATTCCAGTGTGAGCTGCAAGCACGCAGGAAGTGGTGTGCCATGGAGACAGGCGCTGCCCTTGGGGGAGGGGCTTTCCTGGTTTCAAGTTCCGCGTTAACTTTGCCAACCTCTGCCAAATTTCCTTTTAACCTTTGTTAGCCTTCATTTCCTCGCCTGTGTCTGGAGGTAATAATAGAATCTCCTTAGCCATGCTGTTGTGAGAATACATGCATGTAAATCACGCAGCAAAGTGCCTGACAGAGAGTTAGCGTCCAATCTGTGCCAGCTGCGGTGATTACCATAGAAGGAAGGAGCACGTACTTTTCATGATATCGTAGGTCTATAGTATCCTAGGAGACAAACTATGTCATAAATACTGAGTATAGGTAGCAGTGTTTCTCGAATTTCAGTGTGCGTGTGGATCACCTTGGGGAGCTTGTTTAAATGCAGATGTTTATCCTGCAGGCCTACGTACGATGTGACCTGATGTTTCCCATTTCTCATGGGCTCCTGGGAGATGTCAGTGCCGTTGGTCTGTTGTCCACTCTTTGAGTTCATAGTCTTTCACGGATATTTGAAATTATTCTGGTAGTCACAGAATAATCCCCTATGAGGGTAAATGTGATCGACAGCCATTGAAATTGCTTTCTTTTAATATTATATGCTAAAGAGTTATGATTGTGTTCTTTCTTCCTCCCTTTTCTTTTCTTTCTTTTCTTTTTTTTTTTTTAAAGGAAAGAGGGTTAGTGAGAGCACTGAATGTAACTCCAAGTTCTGATCTTAGATCTGAAATCCTTGATCAGAGGTCACGGGGGAGAGGACTCCCGTGCTGGGCAGAAAAGGCTTGGCCTGACTGGGAGCATCTGGTGCGACCGTGAGCCTGGACGCGAAAGTGTGGACAGCCCAGGCGTGCGGCCTGGGAGCCGAGTCCGTGGGGGTCCTGCAGGAGGTTCCCACAGAGGACGCTCTCCAGAGAGCAGCAGCGTCCCCACGCTTCTCTCCCAGAGGCGGGTTTCTGTGCACACAATTCTGAAACTTGCTTTTCCATTCAATATGTTTTGGACTCCTCCATGTCAGTTCGTATATGATTTCATTCTTTTGAACAGTTGCATAGTACTCCTTTGTAAAAATGCAACATAATTATATTTTCTAGGTTTTTTTTTTGGATAGATACGTAGGTCTTTTTTGCTTTTTTCTCAACATAAACATTATAATGACCCCTCCTTAAAAATATATATTTTGTATATATGTATGAACACCACACACA